GAATGTTTGATCATTATTTGAAATTACTTTGTTACAATACGAAATTTTAATTACATTTATAATTATTACAATTAATTTAGTCATTTTTAATTACAATGCTAATTTTACATTAGTAAATGAAATTATGCAAATTTGCACAGAGCATATGACTAATTAGATTGGACTCATTTTGATTTAATTATAGCACTAAGCCATTCATTGCAATTTGAATTTTGTTTTGATTGCAGCCTCATTTTGAATTTTCGTTTTATGGATTTAATTCATTATTAGCTTTTCATCAACTCACAAACCCCCTGCATTCACCTCACAGACCCTTCTTCGGGAAAGCCTGATGTAATGTATAGAAATATTGCATGTCAGACGACACCGATGTAATACATTTGTTTACTTGCAAATGGTTCAGTTTGTTGCAGAGCTTCAGCAATATCATCAGTAACCTAAAAAATGTGATGCATTTGTGCAAAAAGAAAAAAGAAAAAAGACTAGTCAGTATGAAATTATAGTCAAATATTTGGAAGAAAACCCATATCTAAACAATGTCTCATTGTTCTCGTTGTTTGTGAAATCTGTGTGAGGTCAACACATGCTTTCATTTGTCAGTTTCACTTTGGTATTTGTGAACATTGTTAAAGTTCCTATAACATGTTACCTTCAGTGTTAAACAACTGCCAGACATCATGAGCGAATAGCAAGATCCTGCCAAGATCTATAGATACTGTTGTTAGGCTGCCAGAGGTTGGACACAATGTTTTCATTGTGGTAACATGATTAGTTATCAGTGTGTCTCATGTAATGAGTGGACCTTCTACAGTAGTTACGAAAGCTTGCAGGAATGTCTGGATATAATTTGAGTGTTTGAACAGTCAACGAGTCGCCTCACGGTTACATTCTTACCAGTTGATCATGAGGTCACAAATGATTGTATGAATAAAGTATCTTTTGTGATGATCATGTTTCTCCTCCCAGCTGATCTTAAACTTTCTCTCACAGTCTTCAAGGATCTGTGCCCTTTCCTTGCGGCCTTGTCTGACCCCGGTGTTTCTGGTATGGATACACCAGGGATTGTGTTTTACAGATGGCTTGTTTGATATAAAAACAGGAAATGTTTCTATATTTTGGTCTTATGTAGCCATGGCAACATATACTGTAATGACCATCAATCATGTGTAATAGTCGTGAAGATTTTTAGGGCCTGTTCATTTTCCATTAATCACATCTCACTTTTGCCTCCAAGGTCTGTGTTGTTCTGGCAGTGTGTGAATAGTTATGTTAATCAGTTAATTGTTAATAATGGTAATCAGATTGAACACAAATTAAGCTGCAGTTAACTAATCGAATGGACTAGATTAGATGAAGAAAAGAGGCTTGAAATTTGTTAACTAGTTGCACAAAGAACAATGTAGGATTGTTAGGATGTGCCATATGATTTGTTTGACTTGCATACATAATACTGTTTTATAAAGAATTACTGATAGCCAAAAAAATATATATATATATTGAACACTTGTTCAGAAAGGATGCGTTAAATTGATCAAAAGTGACAGTAAAGACATGTTACAAAAGTATTTTTCAAATAAATGCTACAAAATTCAAATGAAATGCTATGAAAAAAACAAAAAGTGTCATAGTTTCCACAAAAATATTAATCAGCGCAACTGTGTTCAACATCGATAAGAAATGATGTAATGATGCTGAAAATTCAGCTTTGATCACAGGAATAAATTACATTCTAAAATACATTCAAATAGAAAACAGCCATTTAAAACTGTAAAAGAACGTTTCACAATATTATGCTTTTTCATTGCATTTTTGATTGAATAAATTCATGAGCATAAGACTATTTTTAAAAACAAGTTAATTAATTTATTAATGTCCAGTACAAGTGTAAAGGTTTATATATTGGGACAGCAAAAATTATGTGAGGACAATTCATTTTTTAAAGATTATAAAAGTTTCTACGTCTTGTTTGCAACTTTTGTAACAGGACAAAATTTGTAATGACAGGTGGGAACGTGTTTATTTAATCACGCACATCTAAAAGCAGAAACTTACCTCACTTTTTCTGAAGTAACAATACAAGGGGAAAAAAATTCAAAACCCACCTCCAACCTATCTCTTTTTTTCTGTCAATGAAAAGATTTGAAGCACTAAACTAATGTCAGATTAGGAATCCGTTGTTACGTAACATTTACCGCTATTATTAATAAACTCAGTCAACACAATGTACAGAAGCACTTGAGCTGAGGCCGGAGAAGATCTCGACTCCATTATCTTTCTTTTGTAAAAGCTCTCTGCTTTGCTTTGGCAGTCTCAAGAGGAACGTCCACATGGAGCCGATTCTTGGAAATCCAGTCATTTGTTTTTTCGTCCTCCATTTATTGTCCTCGATGGCGTATTCCACGGTCGCTCTGCGGTTCACCGTGAACACAGAGTCGCCTCGCACTACCGCAGTAAACAAAGCCCCCTTACTGTTCTCGTACTGCCCCGGCATGGCCGTCCACTGACCTGAGGTCAGATTGTAACAATCCATCACGCATCTCAAAAAATCATCAGATGGCCCATTCCTCATGACGTACAAATTGTCCCTGTGGGCCACCATGCAGTGTCCGTAACTTTGATGCCGAACGAGTGTTGTGGTTAACACCCATTCATCTCTGTTTGCGACGTACTCATAAATCTCAGTGGCGTCTTTAGGTCTCCAAAGGCAGATGAACAGTCTTCTCATGGCTTTGGCGCAAGCGACGGCGGATGCAGGTCTTGGAAGATGAGCAGCGAAGCTCCAGGTGTCCGAAGAGACTTTGTACTTCTCCACAGAGGACATTACGGTCTTCTCATACTCTCCGCCGATGATATAAAGGTCGCCCACATGGCCGACCAAGGTACAGTTGTAGCGAAGTTGCTGAGGGCTGGAAAATGTGCTCCAAGTGTCTGTAGATACATCATAGCAGAAACCAGTATCCACAACTTTATTGGAAATATCATAGACTCCTCCGACAATGTAGAGCTTGTTGTCTAAAACCGTAACTCCTGCCATGGTGGTGCTGGCGTTGAGAGGCAAGTGGGCGAGAACCTTCCAGTCTTTCTCATCCTCATCAAGATAACAAACGGTCCTCATGAAGTCCTGCAATAGCTTGATGGTTGGCGAATGAGTGCCGACAGTGATGTAGGAACTAGGAACAAGAGACTCTATATCTTCAATCAAATCCTCTGGTAAGCACTTCACGTCTTCTTTGAGGTCTACATACATGTCTCGAATGAACAAAGCTGTGCTCTTGAAGAGCTTCAATAACCCGAAAGTAGCCGCTGTGTGATACATTAGAAGACAGTTGTCTGAATTGATTACATTGATGAGATGCTCAGTTAGGAGATCTATCTGAAGGAACACGGCACATTGGATGGCGTCAACAATTTCGTCAGCGCTCAACATGGGTCTTTCGCCATGTATCACACGAAGGGCTACCAGAAAGCCATGAACACTTGGCGCCTGAAGACAAATCTCATCCTCCATGCATTCCTTCATCCCAGATTGGAAAAGAGCTCGAAAGTATTCACAATTGTGCTCCAGGAGGCTTCTGTCCACTGTAAAAACACTTTCACCGAATCTCACTTTCACTATTGTTTTCGTGAAACCCATATTAGGCTGGTAAAGCGTCTTCCTCACACCGATCTCTGAGCCAGCATAGCTACTCGTCTCCATCAAGTTACCTCCTGCCATTTTCTTCTAGATATACCCACTTCTGCAAAGTCAAACCTGGCTTTGAAGACATTCAGAGCACCACTGACTACCCATGATGTCTTCTAAAGCAAGGCAGATGCATTTGACCAAGTGTGCAGTGTTTGTATTACTCCTGACAACTACAAGAATAGAATCAGCTATACATAGAAGTGAAAAGTGTGGCAGCATTATGCTGCTAGGAAAGAAATGGCAGATAGCCATCGCTGTAGAGGGCAGCCGTCATCATGGTTATTTATTACCTTTTGTTCTTGGCAGGCATTAAAAGCAGGCTGAAAATTTCATCTTCTCCTTTTGACGAACAGGTGAAATGCCTAAAGCTGTAACAATGGTATGCCTGTCAGGGTCAGTCTTTGTTGTGGGTCAGCATTCCAGGTGAACATGTGACTGCTCAAAATAAAATCTGATTTAAAATAAAAAGACTTAGTAAATTCGTATTTTTACAGAGCATATGTGAACCCAAGTGATAAGAAATATTTCCAAAGCCAATGCCACTGTAAAAAGACCATGTCTTACAATATGTAAGTCACTGATTGGTTAAACTCATTACAAATTCCACAGCAAGGTTGATTTTTTGCGTAGTAATATTTTAATTATAGGTTTTATTTACACAAATGTAAATTCGAAAATACTTGCAGTACATATTGATTAACTCTCCTTAAGTTTTATTTCATATTTGTTAGAATTGCTTTTATATAATTTGGAATGGAAACCAACAGTTGCCGGTAGCCATTGACCCATGGTATGGAAAAAAAAATACAATGGGAGTCAATGGCTACCGGCTGTAACAATGGTATGCCTGTCAGGGTCAGCCTTTGTTGTGGGCCAGCGTTCCAGGTGAACATGTGACTGCTCAAAATAAAATCTGATTTAAAATAAAACGACTTAGTAAAGTCGTATTTTTACAGAGCATATGTGAACCCAAGCCCAAATAAGAAATATTTCCAAAGCCAATGCCACTGTAAAAAGGCCATGTCTTATAAGATGTAAGCCCATAAGTCACTTTTTGGTTAAACTTATTACAAATTCCACAGCAAGGTAGAATTTTTGTGTAGTAATATTTTAATTAAAGGTTTTATTTACACAAATGTAAATTTGTGAATACTTACAGTACATATGGATTAACTCTCCTTAAGTTTTATTTCATATTTGTTAGAATTGCTTTTATATAATTTGGAATGGAAACAAAATACAATGGGAGTCAATGGCTACCGGCAACTGTTTGGTTACCAACATTCTTCAAGATATCTTCTTTTGTGTTCAACAGAAGAAAGAAACTCATTTGGAACAACTTGAGGGTGAGTAATCGATAACAGATTTTCCCTTTAACAATGATAATGTCTATTTGCTCTTCAAAGAGGTTTAAAAATCCACCGCGAAACTGACGTGAAACATTATTGATCGTCACGTGTGAAATGATTGGCGGAAGAATTCTTTTCTTATATTTGGGCCTGTTAATAAAGTAAAAAGTAGGCCTACTATATATACAAAAAGATAGTTCCATTTATTTGAGCCACCACAAAATTACTGAGGCCCTATTTAACCTGGTGGTTAACCGAGACGACAGCGAGTACTTTTCATTCATTTCGGACCATTTTTGGCTGAAAGTTTGACATAAATGCTGTTCTTAATTGAAAGTTTAAACATTACAAATCACATATTTGTTAGAATTGCTTTTATATAATTTGGAATGGAAACAAAATACAATGGGAGTCAATGGCTACCGGCAACTGTTTGGTTACCAACATTCTTCAAGATATCTTCTTTTGTGTTCAACAGAAGAAAGAAACTCATTTGGAACAACTTGAGGGTGAGTAATCGATAACAGATTTTCCCTTTAACAATGATAATGTCTATTTGCTCTTCAAAGAGGTTTAAAAATCCACCGCGAAACTGACGTGAAACATTATTGATCGTCACGTGTGAAATGATTGGCGGAAGAATTCTTTTCTTATATTTGGGCCTGTTAATAAAGTAAAAAGTAGGCCTACTATATATACAAAAAGATAGTTCCATTTATTTGAGCCACCACAAAATTACTGAGGCCCTATTTAACCTGGTGGTTAACCGAGACGACAGCGAGTACTTTTCATTCATTTCGGACCATTTTTGGCTGAAAGTTTGACATAAATGCTGTTCTTAATTGAAAGTTTAAACATTACAAATCATTTGTGTTTTGTTGCACGCGACGAACATCAACAAAAAGTTCCCCCCGACAATTTCCTTGTAGGAAAATCCTTTCAAAAGCCATCGAATAATTGGCAAACTGGTAAAGGGAGTATGAACTGTGTACACAGCTTTGAAGTTTCTTCTTATGTTCATAGGAGGCGGATCCACTGGATTGAGATCGAGTCCATCATGTGCTCCTGCCCACCGAGCCAAAATATCCCAGCATTTCACTCTTCATTTTCCTCTCGCCACATCCTCTCCGACTACAAGCGACTTCCAGTGTCCTGGAAAAACAACAGTCTAGCAATCTCGGACAGACACGGATATGAGTCCTCTGAGGTTGTGGTCATGTAGTTTGTACTGAAGCTGTTTTGCAGAGAGCGCTGGTGAGAAATCAGACATCAGCATCATCCAGGTATGAACTCAGAAGATCAAAGCTGTGTCCAATGGGCTGTTTGATTCGGATCTGCTCTCTCATGTGTTCATTCTTCTGTCTCATCCCGTCTTCAGGATGTCTCTGATGTTTGGGAAAGCAAGAACTTGCAACATTGTCACAGTTCCTGAGCATGAGCCCTTGGAGTGCAACATAGTGATTTTGGGAGCTATGAGATCTGGAAAGTCAGGTATGACTACCATGCAATGTTCATAATAACAAACATAATTTTAATTCGATAAAGTGTGCCTTGAATGCACTGTGAAGCGTTTTGAATTTGCATTGTCTTATATATATATATATATATATATTTGATTGTACTGATCTGTTAAGCATTGCATAATGTTGATAATGATTTTATTAATGAATGTTATGCTATTATAAAGTGTTAAAGCAATTAGTTTTGTTTACCAGGAGAGAGAACATTTTTCCCCATAATGAGATTTATTTTGAAGAAAAATGCTTAAAAAGCAAAGTATTTCCCATTATCCTGTTGGGACGCTCTGTTATGTAATTGAAAATATTTCCGAACTTAGCCTTACAGGAAGTTTGTCTGTCCCTCTGCAGCACTTACAGTGAAATTCCTCACGAAGCGCTTCATTAGTGAATATGACCCAAACCTTGGTGAGTTTCCCAGATTTTACTGTTGTCACCAATGACGTAACCTAATACTGAGGGGAGTTTGAAGGTAAAAGTTTAACAAACGGTCATTGAAAAACCAGTAGTGAGTGACTGAACATCTGAATGTAGAAGGAGACGTGTCCTTCTCAGTGTCTATGGTGATTATGGTTCTGATCTTAACACAAAACATATCAATCATACAGATTTAATTTTTTACTTTACTGGAGCATTAACTTTAGGGCTGTTTAGTTTCATTCAGATTTAATTATTGGGGACTCAGATCCTTAGATGGGTGACTTTAAATCTTAAAAGAGACATAAAAGTCCTAATTTTCATGTTCATGTTTTTTCCTTGGTAGAAGATGAAAAGTTGAAGCTTATACTGACAGCTTTGATGTTACTAAAATGACAGGTTTTGACTTTTTAAGACTTGCAGTCTTTGCCAGACCGGGGATAAAAAGGTAAGAAGGGAACCTATCCCTTCTTAAAGGGATAGTTCACCCCAAAATGAAAATGTGATGTTTATCTGTCCTTTGTAGTTGTATCACATTTTCATTTTGAAATCATTATATAAAATAATAATAAAATCAATTATAAAATGCACATGGATGTCAGGAACCGAAATGTCTTTTTTTATTAGTGAAGAACTGAATGAAAAGAGAGACTTCATTTGAAGACAAAACACATTATGCAGCTGCCATGTAACTTGAGCTGGAGCACAGTGTTTTAATGTTTCTTTGAATGCCTGTTACATATTTAATTTTCAGAAGATACCTACTCTTCAGAAGAAGTTGTGGACCAGCAGCCAGTTCTGGTTAAAGTGATGGACACGGCTGATCAGGTAATGATGTCCATTTGTCTCTTTTGAGAATATTCTGCTTTATGCAGATTGACACCTCATATTTGTATCAGATTGATCTTCTTATAATGGTTGATGTTTTACTTTCTCATAAAGGAGGTTTGTTGCGTAACCTTGGCAGCTTTACAGTATGCAAACAAATCTGTCTTTATTTAAATCAGGATGGACCAGTCAACTGTGAGCGCTATTTAAACTGGGCCAATGCCTTCATCATTGTCTACAGCATTGACAACCGGAACAGCTTTGAGGCCTGCCAGCAATACTTGGAGACCGTGACCCTTTACTCAAAAGGCCTGCAGCCAGAAGCTCCTGTCATTCTTCTAGGCAACAAAGTGGACATGGAGAGATACAGGTGAATTAAACATCCTTTCTATTAGATTTCAGTAAACATTGCTATTATAACATATAATGCCTGGTAATGTATCTTAAAGAATAGTTCATCCAGAAATGAAGATTGGCTGCAATTTTACTCACCCTCAGGCCATCCAAGATGTAGATTAGTTTGTTTCTTAATCAGAACAGATTTGGAGAAGTTTAGCATTTCATCAGTTGCTCAGCAATGGATCCTCTGCAGTGAATGGGTGCCGTCAGAATCCAAACAGCTGATAAAAACATCGCAATAATCCACACCACTCCAGTCCATCAATCTTGTGAATTGACAAGCTGCATGTTTGTAAGAAACAAATCCATCAAGTCGTTTTAACTCCAAACAATCGTTTCTTGCCAAAATCCAAATCCATAATAACGTTTCCTCCAGTGAAAAAGTCCATCTCCTGTTGTCTCTCACGTCACAATCCACCCACATATTTGTTTAGAACTGTTTTCGCAGGTAAGCAGCTATTGATCTGTGCATATTTCTCTCCTGATTCAGACAAGGCGAATTTTCACTGGAGAAATAAATAATAATATTGATAAAGGACTTGTATTTTAGCTGGAAGTGATGGTCTGAATTTAAACCATCTTATTGATGGATTTGTTTATTATTATAAACATGCAGTGTTTATATCACCATGTGGACTACTTGTGGGTTATTGTGATGTTTTTATCAGCTGTTTGGACTCTCATTCTGACGGCACCCATTCACTGCAGAGGATCCATTGGTGAGCAAGTGGTGTGATGCTATATTTCTCCAAATCTGTTTTGATGAAGAAACAAACTCAACCACATCAAATGTTCATTTTTGGGTGAACTATTCCTTTAAGTGTGATTCTTAAACAGCCAAATGTCCTGTGTCAGAGTGTGTCTTTGTCAAAACACTAACTAAGCACAGCAGGAAATAGTGCATTTACATAGTTGTATGAGTGTCCTTTTGTTAGTTTAACTGGAGGAACATATGACCTGTGGCTGGCTATAACTACGACAATTATGCTTAGTACCACCGCAAGTTATTTAGATTTCAATTTTTCATGACCCTGAAATGTTTAAGTAAGGATTTGATTGGTCCAGGAAATGGCCATTTATCGCCTTTATATTTTCCTTTAAGTACGCAAACACAGTGCATGATTTATGCAGTATCATACTTACAAAGATCATAATACAGCTGGAGTCGATCATATATATCTATTTATGTAACTGCAGATTAATGTTTGCTTCTTTGCCAGTCACACTTTAAATAAAAGCGTTAACATTACATTAGAGTTTCTTTAACTCTTTATTTCACAATTTTACTTAAGGCTGCAGTTTTCATATGCACTTTTTATTAGGTTTTGTTTTGTTTTAATCCTATTATTACATGGTTACTTTTTAGCATTTTCTCTATGCACACTATCCTTCAAACGACTGGGGTTGGTAAGCTTTTTTAATGTTTCTAAAATAAGCCTCTTATGATCAACAAGGCTGCATTTATTTGATTAAAAATACAGTAAAAGCAGGAATGCTGAGAAAATGTATTACAATTTTAAATAACTGTTTTCTATTTTAATATATTTCAAAATGTAATTTATTCCTGTGATGTAAAGCTGAATTGTCAGCATCATTACTCCAGTCTTCAGTGTCACATGATCCTTCAGAAATCATTCTAATATGCTGATTTGCTGCTCATGAAACATTTCTTATTATTATCAGTGTTGAAAACAGTTGTGCCGCTTCATATTTTTGTGGAAACTGATGCAGTTTTTCAGGATTTTTTGATGAATAGAAAGTTCAAAAGAACAGCATTTATTTGATGTATAGAAATAATAGAGTGTATGTAATAGAAATCCTTCGTAACAGTCTAAATGTCTTTGATGTCACTTTTGAGCAATTCAAAGCATCCTTGCTGGATAAAAAAAAATCAGACTTACCCTTTTTGAATGGCATTTTTAGTTTAATAAAAATGTAAGTTAGGTTTAATCAAAATATTTATTAAATTACATTAATTGAATTAATTTATTATTTAAATGATTTAAAAAAAAGGTCATAAATTCAACAGCATCATGTTTTTTATTTGCTTTCTGGTATCAGCTTATTTTATTGACTCAATTTAACCACACTAAATTAATCATTATTTACAATACTATTTTTCCCCCCATTGTTGCACATCAGCATACCTGAAATAACCTGTGTATATTATTTTTCATATATTATTTTTAGATTTTTGTAAAGAGGTCCATTCTATGTAAGCAAAGTGAATCAAGCATGCTTTCATAATGCGTCTTTTTTACATCTTTTTTTAGACAGGTGAGTAAGGCAGATGGTGCCGACCTGAAATAACCTGTGTATATTATTTTTCATATATGATTTTTGTAAAGAGGTCCATTCTATGTAAGCAAAGTGAATCAAGCATGCTTTCATAATGCGTCTTTTTTACATCTTTTTTTAGACAGGTGAGTAAGGCAGATGGTGCCGCTCTGGCCTTGCGTTTCGGCTGCCTATTCTTTGAAGTTTCCGCCTGCTTGGACTTCCTGTCCGTTCAGCACATCTTTCACCAAGCCATTCGGGAAGTGAGGCGAGAAACACAGAGGAGTATCCGTCCGCTCTTCATCAGCGAAGACAAGTCTGCGATCAGCCTGTCCTCTGCCCCTCCCCTCACCGCCTGCTATAAAGAGCTGCCCACCCCAGCCACCGCAAAGCTGGTTACGGTCAAGTCCTCGAGAGCTCAGAGCAAACGCAGAGCCCCCACGCTTACACTGCTCAAGGGCTTCAAGATCTTCTGATGTAATGACACCCTCTTCTGATAATGGAGAGGATCTACAAGAGGGAATGCTTGTTTGGATGTCGCATCGGCTCATTTAGTATCAAAGCTAAGAGAACCTGAAGGATTGCAACGTCTCTCACATACTTGAGAATGCGGTAACTGTATGAAAATGGACAGTGAGCTGAATATTTCAGAGTGCTAATGAATGTCTTTGATAGCATTTCAGATTATTCTGTTATAATTGTTGATTTTTTTGTTTGTTTGTTTCACTACTTTTTGCACCAGTATTATGCTTGTGTTTTATTGTGGAAAACCCAATTTCCACTTAATATATTAATTTCAGAGGATTCATCTGGACTTTTTTTTTTTTTTTACACAGCAAAACACAAAACCTAATCATGCACAAAATACCAAAGAAAATTTCAGGACAAAATTGAGCACTTATCTTTATTTGTTCTTGTTAAACTGTAAAAAATAATACGTTTATCATATTGCATCACATCAAGTGAGAGAGAAGAGAATCATTTACATTGCTTTATGTGGGAAGCATAAAAAATATGAAAATTAAATATTTGGTTTAATCCATAAACGTTTGTATGGTAAACTATTACTTTATGGTTCAGAAAAAAAGTTAACTCATGATCAATTTTGATGCACTTTTACATAAAAAGTTTTTTTAATAACAAATAGAAAACTTGCATTTTTAAAAAACATAAACTATAAAACTTGAAATGAATATATGTGTAAATATATTATGTAATTATAAATCTGGTTGGTTGACCCAAGGCTATAAGCATATATTTTGGGCTAGGGAAACCAAGTGCAATAATTATTAAACACTGGTGGCCAAAAGTTATTATAAGAATAATTGATTTGGTAACACTTTATTTGAAGGGGTGTGCATAAGACTGACATGGAATGATGCTGAACATTCAGCTTTACCATAAAGGGAATAAATTGCACTCAAAAAACATATTGAAATAAAACTATGTTTAAATTAGAAATATATTTACAATATTACTGTTTTTACAGTATTTGCATAAATGCAGCCTTGTGAGCATAAGATACTTTATTCAAAAACATTTAAAAATAATTCTTATAATAACTTTTTGCTGTCAACATAAATGTAATAGACATCTAACCTAAGGTTGGTCTCTTTTTAAAGAAGTCAATTAGCAGATTATAGCAAAAGTTTTTTTCAAGAAAAAACTTTTTCAAAAATAAATTTTTTTGGCAAAAAAAATAAAATAATGTAAGTATCAAAACATTTTGAGAAAGAAGTTCAAATTTATTGTAAAGAAAATACACTGTTCTAATTTTATTATATTTTGTATATAATAAATATTTTACATAACAGGTTTTACTATAAAATTGCTATAAAATGTAAGCCTTCTGTCTAAATAAGTTATGTTCCAAATTTGAAGTTGATCTGAAAAAAATTGAGGTTTCTGTAAGATTTGATTTAGGGCATTATACCACAAACAGCTTAAATGCATTTTTCTGTAACATATGTTGAAATTTCTCTGCCAATATTGCTTCTATCACAATATGCAATATGGAATCCTGAGACTCAGATTTTTCCAATGATATGTTTTTTGTCAAGATTATAAAAAGTTTTGATTGTAAAAGACATTTTGTAATATGACATTGACACCGCCCGCTAAGGGGGAGGAGACCACCAAAACATTTTAAAGTATGATTTCCATGGTAACGCAATATTTGATTTCAAAATGGTTTTCTCAGGATGAATCTTGGGCTTCTTAGCTTTCAAACGATATATCATTTATGATGGTTACTAAAACATTTTCTAGAGAAAAAGGATGACAGAAAAAAGAGCGCCAAGCGTCCCACAGGTGGGACGGTGACAGTTAAGGGGGTTTTAAGATCTCTGACGTTTTATAGCAGACTTTGGTATCATGGCAAATTTACTTGCGAAAGACATTGTAAGGTTTCAAAATCTGAGAAGCTCTTGAGATCTCTTCTAAAACATCTCTAGCAGAAACTTGAGATTTTCTCTTATGGATCACACTTATAAAAATAATTAGAACTATTAGCCTGAAAACCTATTTTTTATTTTTTTCTCTTTATTCTTTCAAAATTGTGTTTTAGTGCTATAAATAACCCAGAGAGACCAGCACACTGATCTGAAGAAAAACAACCCAGGCTCATGAAAATGATATGCCTGTGGCAACATTTTTTGCAAAAATAATATCACATATCTTTTTGCATGTCTTGCATTAGTTTCAAAGTGAAATGTATAGTGGTGTGTTCAATTTTCTCAGAATCAGATAATCGTGACTTTGGTAAATGCACATATTGCGGCAGTTCGGAAATCAAATGGCTGATGACCATGCAATTTTACCTTGTTTTTACATGGCTTTGAGCACTTTTTTCGAGCAGTGTTCCACTGGAATCACACCAGAGTGCTTTGCATCGAAAGTACCAGGTGAGTTACTGAGCAAGCTTACTTACTACATAGGAAAGGCGATAAATATGATAGATATGTGATGCTTTAAAATGTATTTGAGTATATATGTCTTTACTTGTGTATTTGTTTACTATAAAACTGCTCTTTGTTAACTATAGTCATAATGTTATTAACCCAATGTGTTACTCGTGTGCTACTAACCTATTAGCCATCATGCCCATGACCATCAGCATTGCGCCAATCAGAAGACCCAGAAAAGCAAATGCCAGCATGCCAAACATCCACGTTGTTGCTGTTAAATGAGAACGGCATTGAACAGTTTGTGAGTATTAGTGTGATGCATGTACACTTTTTCACATGGCAACATCCAGATGTGCATTTCAAGCCATTTCATGGATGGGGATATTGAATTCTGTAAATATGAGAGACAAGGACATCACAAAGGATAATGCAAACTTGGCACACTCACGGTCCTCTGTGCGGTAATACCACTGTAAAAACTTCTTCTGTGCCTCTGTCATTCTCGGTGCAGGCGGCCCTTCAGCAAAGTCAAACTCGTCGGTCTCTAAATCGCTTTCTCTTCTGGACCCTGTGAGAATCAGTGACGATGAGATGTATAGTATAGCATCATACCATGAAGAGACGAATTGAAGAAGGTCAGTGGAGCTTCTTTTCATGTTGCAAACGTGGCAGAAAACACTTTTACACTCTTGTGAAAGGGAAGCCAGACACTGTGCACTGTGATATTATTCTCATGACAATGAAGCACATTCCCCTATAATTCATTCAGTGATGCAAAAATAAATCAAATTAAAATAAAAAAAAGAATACAATTTTCGAATACTTAGATTTTTCATGGAAATATGTCAAAATGCTAAATAAATCAATAAATGTACTTCCCTAGTTACTATATTGTACTCACTAGATTATTAGTAACGATTACCATCTAAAAGTTTGGAGTCGGTACGATTTTTAAAAATTGATATTTTCAGTAAATATGCATTAAATTGATCAAAAGTGAGAGTAAGGATGTTTATAATGTAACAAAAGTTACAACATTTTAGATAAATGCTGTTTTTTACGTTTCTATTCATCAAGGAATTCATATTCAACAAGGTATCAGTTTCCACAAAGATGTGAAGCAGCACAGAGTGGCTTTAAAATAGAAAACAGTTATTTTAAATTGCAATAATATTTCACAATATTACTATTTTTACTGTATTTTTGATCAAACAAATGCAGCTTTGAGATTGTATGTCAACCCAGATGAAATGAGCATGACAATAAATAACAATACATAAATAAATAATAGTTATTAAATTATTCAGTTGTTATATTCGGCCTCTACTCACTCAGTTTATTCTGGCAGATGTCGCCCGCATCCAGAGATTTCCATGTGTCGTGTTCACCCGTGTTCAGTCTGAGTTTTCCTTTCTCTGTGCTCAATGCCAGAGAGTTTTGCAGGCTGATGAGCTGTTGAGCTTTGCACTGCCATTTGATATGTTCACTCGAATCACAAGCGATAGTCTGGACTGGGTCAGTGTGGACGGCAGAGAGACACCTCAGGGTTCCTGTGTTTACTAGGAACCAGTGATCTGTCCACTTCCACTGCTGCAGGACTGAGTCCAGACTGCATGTCTTTAACTCAGCAGCTCCTTCATACGAGTCCTCTAGACACAGACCTTCCTTCATGCTATGGATCGTAAAGCCAATTGTGCCTTGAAATAAAAATGGACTTTTAGCATATATGTGTTTGTGTAGAAGTCTGTTTTAGGGCCATTAACATTTTTGCATTGTGACATTATTTTAATGACAATTAAGCACATTTACACACCAAATTCTAATTGCTATAATTAGAAACATTCTAATTGCTAAAATAATGTGTTTTAAATATGAGGATTTTTTTTTTTGAAATATTTATTAAATTTTTTGTAATTCACATTTGCCACAATGTTAATTGTCATGAAATCACAATTAAGCACATTATCCCTGCTATAATTGCTATAATTCATCTAGACATTTTTTTAGTAATTCCTGTTTCTCACAAACAGGAATTGTCATTTACATTTAGTCATTTAGCAGATGCTTTTATCCAAAGCGACTTACAAATGAGGACAATAAAAGCAGTCAAAACTAACAAAAGAGCAACAATATATAAGTGCAAATGACAAGTCTCGGTTAGCCTAACACAGTACATGTAGCAAGGTGTATATGTGTATGTGTGTATATATATATATGTATATATGTGTGTCTGTATATATATGTGTATATATATATATATATATATATATATATATATGTATGTATATGTGTATATGTGTATATATATATATATATATATATATGTATATGTATGTATTGATTTTTTTATATTATTATATACTTATTAATTAATGATTTGAGATGGCACAATAACACGCCGTTCACTTGCAGAACGCAAGCTTCTAGAGGGCGTTAACTCTGAAGTAATGAATTTAGGTAAATGGGTGAAGAGCCAATGGTGGTTTTGTAGGCAAACATTAATGCCTTGAATTTAATGCGAGCAGCTACTGGTAGCCAGTGCAAATTGATGAACAGAGGTGTGACATGCGTTCTTTTCGGCTCATTAAAGATTAATCTTGCAGCAGCATTTTGGATTAAAATTTGTAATTCATTCTCTTTATTGCAATACTTTATCTCTGTGCTTAAAATTGTTCTTAATTGTCATAGAAATAGTCACAATGCAAAAAAAAAAAAAACATCCATGTAATAGAATTTCTATTAATTCTAGAATGGGCTGGATTTCCCAAAAGCATTGTCAGCATTGGCACAAGTAGTCTCAATGATCTATACTCTCAGACAAAAAAAAGGTACAAATCTGTCACTAGGATGGTATCCTAAGGTACAAAAGCTTTAAGGTGCTTATTTGTATCTTATTCACCCCTAAATGGTTCATATTAGTACATATTATTACTACCTAAAGTGTACCCTTTGAAAGGGCACTACTCCAGTGATAGATTTCTATTCTATTTTATCTTTTATTCTGAGAGTGTACTTATATAATGCTTTTGGGAAGCACAGCTGTGGATATGTTCTTGCATGTTCATTTATTCTCCTATTATTAGATTCACTCAGTTGATTTTATGAGGTTAAGAGTGTACCATACCAGGCCAGGTGAGAGATAATGCTATCCACAACAGCAGCATCGCTCCTGTAATACAGAGTCTGCTTAAACAGATGCAATGCAGAGGGGTTAACACTTTCACACATATTAACACGGTTAAAAACAACATGTCAAGTTTCATTAGCCTTGTGTTTTCATTTCTGAGAATTTCTCCTCCACACATGCAATGCTTGAACACATCAGCTTGACTAAAGATGCCATGGTGCAATATTTGATCCTTTCCCAATGAGAGAATGCGATATCATGCCTTGACAAAAACCAGATGTTGATCCCACCCACCTCAATGTTACAAAATATTTCTTACAATTTTTAAATATTTTGCTTTACAGTTATTTGTGTTTTACCACCTTAGTCAAGATATATACCATTTCAATTATCAATTTTTATTTTTTTATTGCATTTTTGTCCCTATCAGTGTTAGGTGTTATTAATTTTATTTTATTTAATTACAGTTACTTCTGATGTAATTGCATTAAAAACTGTATAAACAATTATATATAAAACAGCAGTGGATTTAGCATCAATATTTAACATCTAAAGCTACGCAATGCAGAGGGGTTAACACTTTCACACATATTAACACGGTTAAAAACAACATGTCAAGTTTCATTAGCCTTGTGTTTTTCTGAGAATTTCTCCTCCACACATGCAATGCTTGAACACATCAGCTTGACTAAAGATGCCATGGTGCAATATTTGATCCTTTCCCAATGAGAGAATGCGATATCATGCCTTGACAAAAACCAGATGTTGATCCCACCCACCTCAATGTTACAAAATATTTCTTACAATTTTTAAATATTTTGCTTTACAGTTATTTGTGTTTTACCACCTTAGTCAAGATATATACCATTTCAATTATCAATTTTTATTTTTTTATTGCATTTTTGTCCCTATCAGTGTTAGGTGTTATTAATTTTATTTTATTTAATTACAGTTACTTCTGATGTAATTGCATTAAAAACTGTATAAACAATTATATATAAAACAGCAGTGGATTTAGCATCAATATTTAACATCTAAAGCTAAAATGTACATTTTTAATGCAACTAAAATGTATGTTTTTCATGTAATACGTAACATATGCAACATGTTTTTCCATTACTCTTACTCGTCAAAATGATTCAACCAATTTCAACTACGTATTTTAAGTTGTACAAGATTCAGCTTGACTTTTTTTTAAGTTGGTTTAATATAATTTAAGCTGAAATGACTTGTATAGCCAATTTGATTATACTTAAAACTTTAAGTTAACTTTAAACTTAAGTTAAAGTGGAAGTAGGTAGAAATGTTTTACAATGTATAAAATAATTAAAAGTTACAACAATGTTACAGTGCAGTATTATTTTAAAATAAGCATCATTGCACCAAAAAAAGACGAGATGCCATGCAATAATTCTTATCAGCATTTCTTATCGTAAGAATGACTTAATGGCGTATTTAGATCGCAGAGCTTCTGTATGATCCATACGGATGGCTATTATAGATGACATATATGAATTCAACTCACCTGAAGAGCACAGTTTGAGAGGCGATCGTGGGGTAGAACAGAAAGAATGACTACACATGTTGGGAACGCTTTACTACGGCAGAGTGTTTCCAAAGTTCAAATGGGAGGAGATACACTCATGCAATTTCTTTCCATTTTATAGTGCAGTTTGATGTCTTTATGAACTCAAGAGGGGAAGGTTTTATAGAAGATGATGAGGGAATGAGTTAGCAGTTCGCATTCTTTACGTAATTAGGTGAAGCTGAAGTTATTTATAGTTAATATTTGTATAACTATATTTGCAAGTTATATTTATATACGTTTAGAGTTTCTTTTGTACAAATCTTGGGCTGAAATAGGCCATCCAGGAAATACAGTATTCTAAAGAACTAGGCTATCTTGAGATAAATACAGGCAATAAATGAATTACCCAAAGTAAAAGTCATTCTAGACGCTGTTTATGAATGGTTCTGTTCTAAGGCCGTTTTTGTTTTGCTCTGTTTGGATAGCCTTGCTCCAGCCTTGTCATGTTAGTGCAGCAGAATACTGATGAGAGGGAAACAGTCGCTGACCCGTCGGTCAAGAACCGGTCACATGTGTGTATGTTTGCTTGTGCAGACAAGAGAGGTGGGTTTTATTTCTTTATGGCAAGCGCTTGGAGCCTTGAGGGGTGAATGAACGAGGTGTCACTTGCATTGTTGCAGAGGTGACGCGATAAAAGCCATTCGTTACTGGAGTATCACAATACTGAGAATGTTTTCCTCGTAGCTCAAAAAATTGGAATCAATTTATGATTCATATCAGTCCTAACAGGCCAATAACAGTTACAGTAGTTATTTAGCAGACAAATATTCACATTGTTTGTTTTATGATAGGTTTAGAGGGAACTAGGGCAGACAACAACACAACCCTTATGAAAATTAACCATGCTTTTACTTGCATAATACCAAAACCATGGCTACTAAGGTAATGCCAAATTATGCTTTTGCTACACTAACCATAGTTTAACCATGGAATTTGTAGTAAACCTATGGTTAGACAAATGGCAATCAATCCACTAAAAAACTATGGTTACTATACTTTTACTATAATTAAACCATAGTTAATTTTGACATTTAGGCAATTTAGAAAATATGGTTATTTTGCACAGCCCCAGCCTAAGGATTTTAACCTTTTTTTATGTGATGGCCATACAAAAAATTGTGTTGTCCATGGTTTCAGAATTTGTTGTGGGTGTATGGGCGTATTTGTTGTGACCTCGATGAGCCCCAATAGCCCCTCACTGCAGAACACAAGATCCAGATCCAACTCCTCCCACCTTACATATACCTAAACCTACCCGTCTCCACCCCTTGATTCCCAAACCCACCCATCTCCGCCCCTAAACCTACCCATCTCCCAGAGCTCCACCCCTAAACCTACCCATCTCCACCCCCTAGATGTGGATCCAACCACGCCCACTGGATCTTGTGTTCTGCAGTGCGTACCATCTCTGGATGAGTGAAATTTTGTCCCAGTCCCGCCCTGTTCTACATGGCGGTTGTTCAGCCTGGATGCATTCATTAGCTAACAAAATTTGAAATGTAAGTTAACTTTTGTATTAAGGTGTTTATATGAAGTGCATGGGGTCCCGTTACCCGTGTGACACTAAAACAGGTAGTAGCCTAGTAATGGCTACTTTTTACTTAAGTAGGCTACATGTCAGAGCCCATTCTTCTATACTTTAACTTGAGTAAAAAAAGTGTAGTCAGTACTTCAACTTTTACCAGAGTATTTTTAAAGGAGTCATATGATGCAATTTCAATTTTTCCTTTCTCTTTGGAGTGTTACAAGCTCTTGGTGCATAAAGAAGATCTGTAAAGCTGCAAAGACTAAAGTCTCAAATCCAAAGAGATATTCTTTATAAAAGTTAAGAGTCAGCCACACCTACCTAAAATGGCTCGTTCTAACACGCCCCCACATGTCTATGTCACTGTGTGGGAAGATTTGCATAACGCCGCCCAAATGTTCACGCAAAGAAAGAAGGCATAACTTTTATTCTCGCTGTAGTATTGTTGCCGCCGCCATGTCGTGATGGCGCTGTGTGTTTCGTTGTGAAAGCGAAACTACTTTGTTTGGTCTTCCAAAAGAGGATGATATCCGCTTCCTCATGCCTGGAGCTGATCCGTGCTGGTCGCTGAGGAAATACTTCAACTTCGCGCTGTGGATCACCGGATCGGCTTTCACCGTGGACGAAGTGGAGTCCAGCCCGGGGTCGTCACATGTGGTTGCCGCAGGCATCACAATATGGTAAGGGACGTAACATTTCCGTCACACACTTGAGGAATTCAGCCAATCACAACGCACTGGATAGCTGGCCAATCACAGCACACCTCGCTTTTCAGACCGATGAGCTTTGTAAAAATCGACGTGTTTCAAAAAGGCGGGGCATAGAGGAGAAACAATAATGTACAGTATGTGGAAAATAATGTGTTTTTTGAACCCTAAACCACATAAATTTCATTACACCAAATACACAAAATAATGTTCTTTTAGCAGCATCATATGACCCCTTTAAATATCAATATCTGTACGTCTACTTGAGTGAAGGATATATGTATTTTTGCCATCTCTGCCGCTCGGTCTGTTCGCCGCGGGGCCGATACGACTGCACCAGTTGCACCGCCCTAAGGACGGTCCTGGTAGTTCATGTATGATTTCTTCAAGGGTATAAACTTTGAACACCCGGTCAGTTGACCAAAAATGTCCATTCTACATGGAGTTAATTTTCTGTTGACACTACACAAATACTTAAATTCAACAAAGTATTTTTCTTTTGGAGAAAATCCTATTTGATTAATTGTCCTATCAGTATCAAAGTTTTTTTTTTTTTTTTTTTTTACTTGGATTAGTTGGATTAGTAGGTTCGTTTTGAAATGTATGAGTGCTTAAATGTGCGTTTTGCTGCAGGGGAGTGTTTATATAGTTGCTCCGTTGCTTCCCTCTACTGGATCATACAGGACATGCTCTGAATCTTTATTTTCCTATATTTGAGAAGTTAGAAACAACAACAACAACAAAAAGTCTCGTTGTATTTTTTACTTTTTAGCCATTTTTATAAAGACATATGAATAAATGATAACATTGGTATCATGCTTAAGGTGTTAAAATGTCTCTTTAAAATTTTCACAACAGACTTAGTTGTTTTTGGCATAGATCAACATGTTACTCTTCTGAACAATGATCTCTTTATTTACATTTTTTATTTGACTGAACAACTGAACAAACATTTTTGTATTAATTTATACAAATACAACTGAAATACAAATTTTTGTATTAATTTATACAAAAAAAAAAATGAATATTATATTATAAGTATATTGTGAGAATTCTTCTTCTTCTTATTATTATTTACATTTTCCTGGTAATGTTGCGATCAATATAAGCTACAACTATATATTTTAATTTGAGCAATTTACTTTTATTTTAACCTCCCCTTTTTCCCCCACTAGTGAAATGTATCATCTAATATTATCTATTCATATTCAGCCAAAAAAAAGAAGAAGATGATATTATATAAATATTTCTTACAGAGTAATCTAATCTCCATAAGAATGCATTTAAAAAAAAAAAAATGCAATTTCACAAGGTGGAGCTAGTTTGCTAGTTAAGAGATATTTTCACTCTAGCAGGCAATAATTTACACTATAATATCACAATAATCTGAATGTGGCATCTTGAGAAAAAGCACTTATATCTTATATATTTTGCTCTTTTGTTGGTTTGAGTGCTTCTATTGTCCTCATTTGGGTAAAAGCGTCTGCTAAATGATTAGATGTAAATATATTAATATTCATGACTTTATTATTATTATTATTATTTACGTTAGAGGCGTATAATCGCAAGTGCGACGATTTTCCCTGTGCAGCCAGAACATGCGCTTCTGCTGCTGCAACGTGCCCTCGAAGCGCTGTTATAATAAAGGAGGCGGTGCTCCATGACGCAACAGTTTGTATTAGCCAATAGGGAGCGTGATATGTAAATGAGCTCGTGTAAAGCAGGAAGTGCTGTTGCGTCTCTGTCTGTGTCTGTAGATGAGACGAGGAGGGAAGAAAATACTAGAGAGGACCACGGATAATGCAACGCTAAATAAACACACAGAGAAAGCATACTTCCACATTTGACAGATACAGGGACACGGAGCTGTTTGTGATCGATTGGGGAACGAGGTATGATGCTTTCAGCTGCATTGAATCGATGCGTTTTTTTTGTTTTTGTTTTTTACTTGTGTATGTGTAGGGGTGTCGTCTCGTTTCCTGTTTATTCTGATTATTTAAGCGATATTATGCTGCTTTTAACCTAACAGCCTGTATTTTCAGAACAACCTAGTGTTTTTTTTTCATTAGCTATGTCGTAAGTACATATTTGTATATGTGTCATGTGCGCGTAACGTTGTTATCACACTAATATCAGTGTAAATGATTCCTGCTTTTCCCTGTTGACATCTGCAATACACTTGTTTTCCATAGACATGCACATCCACACTGTTTATAGATCTGATAACAATAGAATATATCAGTATGTGAGGGTGTTTTGAAGTAAAGGCAGATGTTGGGCCTTATTCTGCAGGACACACTTTGATCAGTCACTGTCACAATCATCAACACACCATCATGAAATGTGTTTATCTGCTTCACTTTTATAATAGCGTTGGTATTTAACTCCTTGATCACTTATGATCATAATCAGTAGGTTATAATCATATGCCCATATGTCAGTCTTCTGAAACCCGTCAAGAGCATGTGCAGATTATTTATATGAACAAAGTCTGTTTTAGGTCCATTGAGATATTTGGCATTATGACATTACTTTATTTTAAAGGGGTCATATGATGCTTTTTTAAAGATCATTATTTTGTGTATTTGGTGTAATATAATATGTTGACATGCTTTAATGTTCAAAAAATACAGTATTTGAAAAATAATTTTTTCTACAAAGCTTCGTTTTCGGCTTCGTTTTCTACAAAGTCCCTCCTTCCGACAAGCGCGGTCTGCTCTGATTGGCCAGCTGACCCAGTGCATTGTGATTGGCTGAACACCGCAAGCACTTGTCGGAAATGTAACGCCCCTTACCATAATCGCGAGCTTCATCTTTCAAAATAAGTGTA